CCTGTGCCATAACTTGGCAGTAAGCACCGAGTAAGAGAGCCCTGCTGCCAGTGGCAGGTATCTGGTGTTGCTTCGCTGATGCTGGCCGTGAGCTGTTGAGTTTCCTGCTGCTTTCACTCCAGTGCAGCACAGGGCTCCTCCAGAAATCCCCCTTTCATCCACCCTGCCTGAAGGCAGGCACGAGAGAGTTCTTGGGCTGTCTCTGGAGTCTGGTGCAGCGTGACCTGAGTGTGGTTTGGGAACAGAAGCTTCCTTTGATGCTGTAGCAGCAGTGTTCGTCAGGCTCTGCGGAGAGATTTCCCCCTTCTGCAGAAACAATTTGTGCGTCCCTGTGGGCTTCTGATGAAAGCTTTGGTTCTTTGCTGTCAGCTTGGCCTTTATTGTGCCTTTGACTCAGTAGTCAAGTTTTGATCATATTCTTGTGCTTTTTCTTCAATTTCTTCTAGCTTTCTGGCCTGCTGCTTGATTTATTTTCCCTTCTCTGAACTGAAAGACGTGCTACTGCTGTACTTAGCATTCGGTATGAGAGAAGTCCTGGGTCTGGCAGCTGACACCTGCCCTGTCCTGGTGTGTGTGCTCATTCACCTGTAGCTGGAGCCAGGGCTGCACCTGCTGAAGCAGGTAAATGGCCCAGAGAGCAGAGCTGCTCTTAGAAGGTGCGTGGCCAGCTGCAGGGCAGTGCTGCAGCAGGAAGAGCAGCTGTGAGCCTGTACCCATGAGCCTAGACCTGTGCTGCGTGGCGTTTGGGCTCACCCCTGAACTCCATGAAAAGACAGGGATCCTCCTGTTCAGCATAGTTACTTTCACTTCCACTTTGTTTTTTTTGTGGGCTCTGGCTTTAAAATGGGGAAAAGGGGAGGCTCTGGGTGCCTGCATATTCCCAAGGACCAGCTGAGTGTGGCAAAAAGAGCTTCAGTTCAGTGCCTTGATGCTCGCCTTTGACCCCCAAAGCTGGGAGCTGAGTTCTCCTCCTGCCCTGAGCAGTCACAGCTAATGCAGCCAGCTGAATTTGATCCTCCTTTCCCTGCCTGACTTGAACAGCTTCGGCCACCAGCAGGTAGGTGGGGCTCTCTTCCCCATGTCTGGATCACCCAGCTTGGGGCTGGATTTGGCGCTGGGCAAGGGAAGATGTGTTTAAACACAGGAGCAATGATGCTGGCTGCATGTGGCCCAGCCCTGAACCAGAGGGCAACGGGTCTTGGCACAGAGCGTGGATGTGTGCTGTTGGCTTCTAGAGAGCTGCAGCAACTGAGGATTTCTGCAAAGATGCTGAACTGTGGATGAAATTGGGATAAAACGTCCCCTGGGGCTTTTGGGGTGACTTCTTCCACAGCAGGAGCTGTAGAGTGCCCAAGCAATTTAGGGCATATATGGCCCTAAAGCCTCTCAGATGTAGATGAGCTCCATCAGCCTACCAAGGCTTAAAGGGAGGATAAAAAGGGGTGAGGGAAGTCTCACCGTGGCTGTGAAGGATAGGGCTATCCAGGAGGAAGGGGGCTTGTGGGGAGAAACACACTGAAATCGAGAGCGCTGCCTAAATAGCACAACCACCTGCTGCAGGCTGTGCTAGGAGGCTGTGGGAGCCCCCGGGGAGGCTGGGCAGCCTCTGCTCGGGTGGTCTGTCCTAGTTCAGAGCCGACTGCTGGCACCGTGCCTCTCCTGTCCTCGCACCACCTTGCACCAAGGTGGAAGATGCTGCCAGCTCACGGGGCTGCGCTGCTGCTCTGCGATGTGCTTGCCATCAGCCACCTGGGGAGGGGGAAAGGGGCTGTTCCTCAGCAGGAGCCCTGCAGGACTCAAAAAAAAGCCTTGTCAAGCTCTGTCAGGGGGGTGGGTTTGGGAACGTCACCCCCAGCCCCTGGATTTTGTCCCTGCTGGTGGCAGATCCAGCCCCGCATGCCTGTGGGCTGTGCAGGAGGCAGAGGGGTGGCGGTGCATGCGTCCCAGCTCCTCCAAGCATAAGGTTTCCCTGCCTCCTCTCCTAATTAATTTAATTAGCACAATTAAATGCAGCAGGAGGGTTGGAACCCCTCCTCTTCTCTAACTCCTCTGGGATGTGGCTCCTGCTGGGGACAGCCCTCAAGGGAGCCCCCGAAGCATCTGCTTCTGCCCTAGAGCAGTGTATGGGGGCTGTGGGTAGTTTTCTTGGCCCCCTTTATTGCCACCATGGGTGGCAGCTCCTTGTCCTGCCCCTGTAGCCCTAGAACCACGTCTGTGGTGCCCCAATCCTACAGCTCAACCCCACCAGAGCCCGCACAACCCCCCTCAGGGCCTCAGTGTGTGCAGCATGGGGGGCGAGGCCCTGAGGCCTAGGGCCTGGCACCAAAGTGTAGGACTAGAGGGAAGGGTCTCGAGTTGCACCAGGGGAGGTTCAGGCTGGAAATGAGGAGACATTTAGGTTGGAAATGAGGCGACATTTCCCCCCTCAGCTGCTCTCTCCTGCCAGCAGAGGGCAGGCCCCGGCCGTGCTTCTTGTGGGGCCCGGGTCCCCACAGCGGCCCTGTGGGCACCACAGCCCCATGGCAGCCCTGTCAGCACCGTCAGCCCCTCCTGGGGGGTTTCTGCCCACCATCTTGTGGGCTGAAGGCCTACAGGGATCTCTGAGAAGAGCTGTGTCCCTGGGCAGTCCCCACCAGCAAGAAGCCCCCTTCATTGCCACGGCACCCCACTGCCCGCAGCCCCTCCTCGCCCACCCTGGCCTCCATTCTCATGGTATCTTGGCTGAAATTGCACTCCCCTGCCCATGTTGGTTGTGTTTTGGGAGCCCTGAAGGGATGCAGAGCCCTAAAATGGGGTCCCCCCCCAGTACTAATGGGGATGGGGGTCTGAGCCCTTTCCCCAGCCCCACCGCCAGCACCAGGGCAACCGCAACCCCTGTGTCTCCTATCACAACACACACCAAGGAGTTAATATTTTTTAAAATACTTTATTTTTCTCTCAATACTGACATTACAAAAAAAAAAATACAAAAAAAAAAAAAAAAAAAGAAAAAAAAAAGAACCACTATAAAACATTCAGGTCTCATTGAAACTGAGAAAAACAAAGCAGCTTGCATCTGCGTGCTGACCTGTCTTCTCACTCCATCAGTGTCCACCAGGTTTCCGTACATCGAACTCCACAGGGAACGGCGGAGGGAAAAGGCGTCGTGCCCTAACCTGAATTCAAACTGGTCACAAAATTAAGCAGTGCTTTAATTTAATTTAAGAGGTCTCCTCTCCCCGTGCCCTGGCCATGGCACAGGCCGTCCTCCCGCCGCATATGATGCACTGTACAGCTGTACACCCCATCCCAGCTCAGAGGATGCTGTGCCATGAGCTGAACCCCCCAGGATCCCTATTTCAAGTCATTGATTTCTCTTTATAAAAAGGATGCCTTGGGGGGGAGGAGGGTGTTTTGGCTTTCTCGGTGCTGGTCGGGCTGGAGATGTGGAGCTGAGGTGGTGGAGGAGCCACACAGAGCCAGGTCGGCTGTGCCGCCTGTTCTGCAGGACCCCTCCTGGGAAAAACTGGCAAGAGGCAGAGTTGACCGAGAAAGGTAAGAAATATAAAAATTCTCCTGATGGAAATCCAAAGTTTTTTAAAAAAATACAGCATTTAAAAACAAAACCACCAAGCAGATTGCCTCATGCTCCTTCCAGCTCCACCATAACACCCAGAATTACCTCCTGAATTAAACGTCCCTGTAGAAAAATATATACACGTGCCTTTCTCTTCCTAATAAAATCCCTAAGGTTGAACTCAAACGCTTGTCAAAACCACAGCTCTGCTGACGCTTGGCTCTGCTTTTGCACCCAGACTTGTGCTACACACATACTACGTTCTCACAGGCATGATGTTGGTATGGCTGAGCCGCGCCCCCAAAAGTCGGGGTGAACCACTCCAGGAAACCCAAAACGGGCAGAGCAAACCCTTACGGAGTTTACCTAACAAGCTAAATATATGTATAAAAAAAAAGCAGCAATGCAAAACTCAACACATCTGAACAAGAAAGCTCCCACCCTGGGCTCCCCTGTCCCCCCGGCCGGCAGCAGGTGCGTGGGACAGCGGGGGCAGGAGGCTGGAAGGGACCATCCCCAAGTGCTTTGAGCTCCGTCGATTGGCACAGGTGATGCTCGGTGGTGGTCTTGGCACAGGAGAGTGGACCGCAGTAGCACGAGGTACCGTGGTCCCCGGTTAGAAACGGTCCGGCTACAGTGGCCACCGCGCGCAGGAGCGGTCCCTTGGCCGTACGCGCTCAGGAGTTTCCTTGGCACCTCGGTATGGCCGGGACCCCGAACAGCAGCAAGTATCAAAGAGGGAAGGAGAAAACTAACACGGGGGGGTGGATGTGAGATCCTGTGAAGTCCTATTTACACTGCGCTTAACCCCTATGAGCCCATCCTCTAGTCAAGAGGGTTGGCTGGAAAAGCAGGTGACACAAAAAACCACAAAGTGATGCACCTCCCCGGGCAAACAGCCCGTGCCGCTCGCTTGTGCAAGGCAGCAAAGCTGGACCTCTAGAAAAAGAAAAGAAAAACAAAACAAAAGGCTGGCAGCGAGGAGAGCTGCGAGGGCAGGAGCCTGCGCTCACCATTCCCCCGCTGCTGGAGTAGAAAACAGGCTGAGAGGGGAAGGGGTGGGAGGGATGGATGGGGACTTCTGGGGAAGGAAAGTGGGTTTTTTGCATTTGAAAGTGCTCTGGCACCTCTGCTCCGTGTGGGCCGGATGCTGTGGCACGTGCATTTGGAGTATTGCTGCTTGGAGAAGAGTCCCCGGGGCTCTAGGAGCACGGGAGGTGCTGCTTGAGGATCTGTCTCGTCTGGGGAGCTATTCTGTCTGGGAAGCGGATTTTGAACTCCACGATCAAGTCTCCTCGCTGGTTGGGGGCCTTGGGGAAGGGCAGCCCTTCCCCGCGCAGTCTCTTCACTGTGCCCGGCTTGATGATGTCGTTGCAGGGCAGCGGGATCACCCTCCCGTCGATGGTGGGAATGTTCACGGTGCAGCCGCACAGGGCCTGTGGGGAAAAGCGGGGAGACGCCGTCAGCCGGGCTGCCAGCCCCATGGCACCCAGGGGTGCACCCAAAGAGACCCCAGCCCCGCTCCCCATCCCCAGCACCGTGGGACAGAAGCCCCACGGGTGGCAGGATCCCCGCTCCCCATCCCCTGCTCCTCCCAGTGAGCGCCCCGCGGCTCGCAGCAACAGGGCAGCCCAAATTTAGCCCTTTCGCTACCCAATCTGGGATCCCAGCAGGGTGTGTGGGGGGGGAAGCCGAAAGCCCAGCTGAGCTCATCGGATGCCTCTGCGGTTCATCAGCTGTCACCCTTCGGAGCCCGGGGGTTATCTATAGCACAGCCTGTGCCCCCCACCCCAGCCAAAGCCTCCCGAAGGTTACGCCGGCACGGGGCACGGCACCGCGCTTTCCTGGAAGCTGGGGGCCCTGCAGGGCTGCTCCCTGCCACCAGCCCCTGCTCAGGCAAAGGGTTAGGTTACTGCACTGCGCCACTGCCCTGCAGCTATTTTTATACCTTGGTGGCCCAAGAAGGAAGAAGCAAGAACGAGACGGTTCCCCGAAACTGCAGGCTTGGGGAGAGTGGCTCCGGCGTGCCTTGCATCCCTGCTGCAGGGACCTCCATGTGGCCACGTCCCCCCCCCCCCCTTGCAAAGTAGCCACGTCCCCTCACTGCAAAGCCAGGAGCTGATTTTCCAGGCTGCCCTCTTCATCCCCATCCCCATCCCTATTCCCATCCCCATCCCGGGGCTGGGTGCTGCCTTCCTGCAGAAGCCGGCAGCAGCCGCAAGCCGCCCTGCGTTAGCGAGCCACGTGATGCGGGAATGCAGCAAGAAAATCCTGGTGTCCTTAAATAACTCAGACAGCTCTGCCGTACACGTGGGCAGCAGCGTCTCCGGGCTTTCAGCAAGGAGAGAGGCTGCTGCTGACGGAGGACTGCGGAGCGATACTTCTGGAAGGGGAGGATTTGATGGGGCTGGTCCTGTCCTGCATGCAAAGCACTCGTCCCCTCGGGATGGGGTTTGGGGGTCCCGGTGCCCTCCTGTCCCCAAAAGACACCCTGCAAGGGGAGTAGGGGAGGATGTTCTGCAGCCTCCTTCCCAGGAAAAGCAACAGGGACAAAGAAAAAGGGAGCAGCAGCAGTCACAGCCCTTCTTCCCCGCTGACCCCTGGCTTGAGGCTGAAGGCTGCTGCTTCTGCTGCGGTGCCAGGGCTTTGCACCAAAGCCAGCACAGAGCCACCCCTGCTGGGCTTGGCTCTAGGGCTCAGGTGAGCTGAGAAGAGGAAAGATGGAGCCTGCTGCCTCTTTGCACAACCCATCTGTGCTGGGTCTCCTCCCAGACGGGATTTTTCGGGCTGTAGGAGGAGGTTCAAAGCCGGCTCTGTGCGAGCAGGGGGTGCATGGCCACAACGTGGCCAGAGGGAAGCCAGGCGAATACTTCAGCTTCCAGAACGAGCTTCTGAGACCAAAGTAGGGCAGCAGAAGCGTGGCTGGGATGCTTACACCCAGCCCAAGGGACAGGAACACCAAGCAGAGAGCCCCCTGCCAGGCTCGCGGCGTGGGCGCTGCTCCTCAGCGCCGTGCTTGCCCCGCAGAAGCCGAGGGACGCGAGCAGAGGCAGGCGGTGAGCGCACAGACAGGATCTCAGTGTCTCCTTCCCGGAGCCAAGACGCAGGAATTAGAGGCGATCTCTCCTTCGCCGTCTGTTCCTGTTTTCGATCCTTCTCGCCCAGCTCGGTTGGCATTTGAGAAGCTGGAAGCTGAAGCAACACCAGTACCCGCAAGCGAGCGCCTATAGCAGGGCGACGCGCGGCGAGCGCAGCCCCGGAGCTGCCCTGCATCCTGCAGAGAGGTTCGTTTTTTTTTTGGTAGGAAACCAGCGTGGGTTTGATGGCTGAGCCGCAAGCACCGAGCTTTATCTGGGTCAGCGGCGGGTCCCGCTCTGCGGGCAGCAGCGGGGGGGCCGTCGGATGCTGCCGCCTGGGTGCTTCGAGGAAGGTGACGCCAGGTGAAGGATGCCGCGAGGCGAGGCGCCGCTTCCATCGCGGTGAAACCCGCGGGTGCTGCCTCAGATCTGCCTTCCAGGAGCGCAGCTGCCGTAGCAGTGTCACTCCGCCCTCCCTCGGCCTCCCACTGCGGTGCGCGCCTGTAATTTTAGGCACGGACACGTCCCTGCAGCCCACGAGTCTCTTGGGGAAGCCCTCTCGCACCTCCTGGGGCGGCAGAAGCCGTCCCAGATGAGGGATGCGGGACGAGGACGCGAGCACCAGAGGTGCTGGGATGTGGGGATGGGAAGTGGCAGCCCAGCCACCAAGGTGGCATCGCCCATCACCACCAGAGACAATATGGGTAAAGGTCTGTGGGTGCTGGGTGCTACTGGTTCCGATGGAAGAGCAGGTTCAGGTTCAAGAAGGGGCCATAAGGAAGCAGATGCTGGAGTTTCCAAGCCCTCCTGCCACCCCATCCTACCCCAGTGCCCCAAATGCAGGGCCATGGCTGGAAGCCTTTCTCCCCTTGGCTGTAAGATGCTGGCCAGGGGTCTCCAGCATGACCACGAGTGGGATCACAGCTCCAAGGGCCTGCTGGCACCCTGCTGTGCAGCTAAGGAGACCAAGGCTCAAGCTAAAAGAGGCAGACTCTCAAGGATGAACAGTGCAAGGAAAGCACTCGAGGCTACTCGGAGGCTGTAGGCTTAGGTAATGAAGAGGTTGTGCTGTGATTCACTCCGCCACGCACCGAGATGGTGGCATATGGTGTCGGGGAGCTCCTGGCATCTGCTCCTGCTTCAGAGTACTTCAGCTACTTCTTCTCATGTCAGATAAAAGCAGCAAAGCTGCCCTGGCAAGCGGGAGGCTGGGGCTGGCAGCCAGGCCAGCATCTCTCCGAGCATCCCCAGCACGTTCGGTCTGCGGCGAGGGAGCGCAGAGAGCAGGCAGCCCGGCTCAAAGAGCAGAGGAATTTGCCTGGACCAGCAGTTTCCACCGGTCTCTCTTCGTGACTGCTGTGATGTGAAGCAAATGCCCTGTTTACGGGCAGCTGGATGGAGATCACAGGGGCAGGAGGCAGCCAGCACCTCCCCTGGCACAGCACCGCTGCACGGGGCCGGGCGCGCTGCTCTGCTTGCTGCTCACGGGGCAGCATCAACCTGGACCCAACGTGGGCCAGACATCAGGACAGCCATCCCGGGGGGGTAATTTTAAGAGATAGGGGAATGCACAGAAGGAAACATCCGAGATATGGCATGCAGGACTCCATAAATAATGCAGTCTCTCCCAAGTATTTCTGGAGGGGCCAGCAGGAATAAACCTCCATACTCCAATCCCCTCTGCAACACAAAAGGAAATTCAGCTCCCAAGCCCACAGGTTAATTAGAGATGATTTTGTTTCAGGAGTGCCCAGCTCTGCCTGCCCCTCAGGGTTGCCCTTGCCCCCACTGTAGCTGGTCACAGCCCCAGCAGGGATGCGGAGCTGTTGCAAAGCTCTTCTGACTTGCTGGCACACTCAGGAGCTCACGTTTCCCTACCTCAGGTCTGGCCCATTGAGCTTATTTCTATTAAATGCATTTGAGAACATAAATCTGTCTTCAAAAAAAAGAAAAAAAAAAAATCAGCTCATTAAGAAGACAGACAGCGTCTACAGTCTGAAAGGAACAGCAAATGGCAGCTGCCAAAAACGTCAATGTTAAATGCAGCTGCCAGCTGGGATTTATTAAAAGGTAGTTAGGCAGCAGCAGCAGCAGCAAACGGCACATCTTGTTCTGGGGTAAGCTCCCCTTCCTCTCCCACCTTCACACGGTTTGCTGCTCTGGTGTCTCACTGTGACCTCCAGGACTGACAGCCTGGATGCGCTGGGTTTTGCTCACAGCCTTTTTGTTGAGATTTCGCCCTTTGTCCAGGGGAGCCAGAAGCAAAGCAAGCAGCTGTTCGGGGCTAAAGCAGCGCTCAGCAAGGTCAAGGTGTTGCTTTTCTCTGTGTGACCCTGCTCTCATGTGGGGTGGTGCCTGGCACCGTGCAGGACAGAAACATGAACAAGCAGGGACCAGACCGGTGTCAGCAAACTTGGGGTTTCCTTTGCTCCTACAAAGCACCCGGGCTTTCCTCCACATGTGAATACCCTACGCTAAAATAGAAGGGCAAGACATATGGGGAAGGGAGAAAATGGGTAAATACCACCTGTATTCACTCAGGCAGCCCGGCACGCTCAGTCAGGACTGCAATACCCATGTCCTACCTGCAGCATGGAGGCTGAGCTCCAAAACTTGAGCACGAGCTGGTCTCCTCTCTGCAGAGGACTTTGCTCGTGTCTCTCACACCCTACCTGGTCCGTCCTCTTCGGCACAGGACGAGGACCGGGTCCTGTCCTGGCCACAACCCCGTGCCACCTCTCACCCAGGGCATTCCCACTGGCACCCACCTCTTTAAGACTGATGTTTGCGGTGTAGACCACGTTCGTCCCGTCCCTCTTGAAGTGCGAGTGAGGCTTGTCCTTGAGGATGAAGACGATGTCAGCAGGGATGTTGTCCGGCGTGGCGTCCCCTTCTTTGGGGAACGTGATTTTGGTTCCCTCCTTCCAGCCCCGTTTGATGACAATGTTCAGGATCTTATCCTCAGTCCGCATGGTCCGGCCATCGGCGTTGAGCCTTCTGCGGGTGATCTTCATCCTCTTGGTGGAGCCGTGGTAGATCTCTTCCAGGGACACCTTCAGCTCGTGGATGACGGGTGGGTCTTGGACCTTCCTCCGCGTGTGCAGGGACTCCTGGTGCCGCCGGTGCACCCCGTTAATGCCGTTGAAGCCAAAGCGGCCGAAGGCACTGAAAGGATCATCATCGTCATCAATATCCATGTCTTCCTGGTCAAAGCCATTGAACACCCGGGAGCGGCTGCTAGCGAAGAAGATATCGAAGGGGTTGGAGCCTCCGAAGAAAGACGCGAAGGTGGCGTGGGGGTCTCCGTGGAAGGTGTAGTGGAAAGTGTTCCCTGAGCCACCTGAAGAGCCACCTCCAGTCTTGAGACCTGGAAGAGAAGGGGGAAGATGAGGCGTTAGCACTCCCTGCCAGAAGAAAGCTGCTGGCTCTCCAAGCTGTGTGTGCAGACACAAGTCGACACGTTGGCTCCACGGCACCCAGTTGTGCTGCACAAAATGCGTTTTGGGTGAGTTACCTGTCACCCAAGGTGAACTGCGCTGACAGCCACAGCCCAGGAGCATCGTGTCCAGCATGTTAGAAAATGCTTTCGACTCAGTGAGCAACCGTGCAGCCATCAGGAATTTTGCTGGCAGAGCACAGGGAGGTCAGCAGACCTCCCAGCCACCCCCCAGCACACGGGGAAGCAGCTTGCTGCGCGTTTGGCCAAAGGGGTTGACCCGAGGAATCCTCCTGCTGTGGCTCTAGCAGCCCAATTCACAAACCGACCGAGAAGTTTGAGGCTTGCACCTTCCAGCAGCCACTCCCAGGCAGAACTGCCCTGGAGATACAGGGGGGGTCAAACTGAGCAGACAAATGCGGCTTCCCCTGGCACCAGGGATGGGGCATGCTCTGCGCCAAAGGATGGGTCACAGAAGGAAGAGGCCAGGTGCATGATTATGGGCCAGCAGGGTAAAATCTACCTACTGGGGAGCTCCAGGATAACTCGAGAGTGGCCGCAAGTCACAAAGAAATCCAGGCCCTGCCCTTGCTTGGGAGCCAAAAGCCCCAAGACTCCCAAAATCGTGGAGTGGGAGGGGAGAGCACCGAGGCTGAGGCAACCAGCAGAGCTCACCAAAAGCATCAAAGTGGTGCTTGAGCCCCACGGAGCAAGCGCTGCCATTTCTCCAGACAACCCCACGCCCCTCAAGAAGGATTGAACCTGCTGTTTTTTTCCTCTTTGGGGTAATTCAACCCAAACTCTGGCCCTGTCTGTGGCCCCAGGAACAGGCCCACTTCAAGCCCAGCCTCCCCGTCCCGCTGCAAGGAAGGGGGCTGCTCCTCTGCAGTTATTTTTTTCCTTCCTGCTTTAACTCACTCTTATTTTAGCCGCCGTCATCCCTGGAGAGCCCCTGAGCCCAGCAGGCTGCAGCCAGCAGGTTTCACCTTTACGCAGTTGCCTTAATCCCATGACGCCAGCCAGAGGCCAGTGCAGAGGCAGGGTCCGGTTTCGGCAGTGCCTCCAAGGAAATGCTGGTTTTCTCGCTCGAGATAGCCGCTTCTAATTTTAAACGGCAGCAAATCACCGCGGCTCGGTGCGTCCCTCGTGGCCGGGACAGAAATAACGGGTTAAGCAACTCCTACAGGCAGAGCAGAGCGTGTGCTGCCAGGCACTGATTTCCCAAAGCTTTGCCCAAGCTGGGTAGTTTTGCTCAGATAAACCATGAGGGAGTTCCCCCAGGTCTGTCTGAGCTTTCACACCCAGCAGCCTGGCTGCTGACAGCACTTGGCACCCCTGGCCACGTCTTCCAAGAGCTCCTTCGTGTTTTTTTCCTATAAGTTTCTGATATTCCTTGTTCCCCAGCATCTTTCAGGAGCGGGTGTAATTTCACCAGGCAGGGGCAAGACTCTGTACCCCCTGAGACCTGTTCACCTCTGAATAGCAGAGAGCCCTCCCCGTGCCTTCCAGGAGCAGGATGGAGCTGATAAAGGGATCTCCAACCACTGTGTACTCCTGATAGTGTCCCCAAAAAGGACGGACCCGCTTGCTGGGCGCACAGGAGGGGCTGCATCTTCCTCCGAGCAGCCTGCCCATGGCAGACCTGCTGCTCTTTTAAGCACCCAAGTCCCTGGCTGATTAATGCAGATGCTATTCAGTGCTCTCCTCACCCTCAGCAAATGGGGTTGCAGTCTTCCATATTCGACTAATAAGGCTGTGTGTGGCGGAGCTGCTCTCCTCCTCCATGCCAACCGGCGGACAACAGCAGCCACTTAGTTTCAAAACAAAAACCTATTACTTAAATTGGGAAAAGCTTTGATTCATCTAGGTCAGCCTGTACCGGGGAGAAAAGTGGGACTAGCACTTCCAACCCAGCACGCTGACGGGGATCCTGCGGGGGGGACATCCAGGAAAAAGGGACATTACTGGGCTGGGAAATTTAGGCCGAGCGCAGGGCTGATAAAGGATGACCGCAGCGCGCGGGCACGGCCCGGTTGGCGAGCTCCTTTTCAGTCCCATCAGCTCTGCGGAGCTCTCAAGTGCCATCTCCCCAGCTGGGAAGAGAAGCAAAAGTGGCACAGAAATGGGTCGGGACATTATTTCTGGCAGCGAGGCGGTGAAGTGTTTGCTCTCCCCGCTTCTGCTCCCGGTAACCTTGATTCGGAGGCAGGCGTGCGCCCTGGGGGTGCAAAAACACCCCCGAGCCCCACATCAACCTCCTTGGACGCACACAGACAGCCACCAGGATGCCTCCGCGCCCCGGCCAGCCCTGCCTTGGAGCAGAAGCACAGGTCCCCTTACCTTCCTCCCCGTACTGGTCGTACACGGCTCGCTTCTTGGGGTCGCTCAGGACATCGTAAGCCTCCGCGATCTCCTTGAACTTCTCCTCGGCGTTGGGGTCTTTATTCTTATCGGGGTGATACTTCAGGGCCATTTTCCGGTAGGCTTTCTTGATCTCATCCTCGTTGGCTCCGGACTGGATGCCCAAAATCTTGTAGTAGTCCTTCCCCATGACGGCGACGCTGCCTGGTGCCGAGTACTTATTCCTGAAAGCAGAGAGACAGCTGGCTGCAAGGCGAGCGCGGCGCTCGGGCAGACGGAGACGGGAGCGGCACACACTTATCGCCGAGCCGCCTCTCCCCGCATCGCACCGGCCAGCAGCACCACAGCCGCCTCAAGTCCACTTTTTTTCCCCCAAAAAACGAGCGCGAGGACACGGAGCAGTGGCACAGGGACGCGCTAGCGCGGCAGGACCCGCATGTCCCCGGGCGCTGCCTTTGCCTCGCCAAGCTCCGGGGTGCGGAGAGGCATCCTGGCCGGGGAGCACCGAGGCGTTGCGCTGGGTTATTATAGGGGCAAGGCCGACCTCGGAGGCGTGACGGTCTAAATTCGGCTGTCCCCGTGCCCCTCCTCTCCCCAGCCTCCTGGGGCTTCGCCAGCCCAGGGCAAGGAGAGGAGCGGCCGGAGGGGCTGGGGGGGGGGGGGGCGGCGGCGCAGACGGGGAGCCAGCAGGGACTGCGCCGCCGCGCTCACCTCAAAGGAACTTCAAACATTTTGTTCCTGAAAGCAATTGGCATTCAGCTGGAGATAAGTGCTTCCAGCATGTCAGAGCTGTAATTTGTATTTAGTGGAGAGAGAATGAAGCCGTTAGACAGAAACATCTTGCGGTGGTGGGAGGTTTTTCTTTCTTTCTCTCTCTTTTTTTTTTTTTTTAAACACCTTCTAGCCTGATTTGCACTCCCTTTGAGTCTTCAGCTAAATGTTGCAGTAAGCCAGAAATATTAAGAGGTGGTAAAATGTCATCGCAGCCTGACACGACGCGGTGAGGTCAGCACAGGCAAGCGGCTCCCCGCATTCACTTTCCCCATCATGTGGGAGGCTGAGGACAGAGCCATGCCTATACTAAGGCATCGAAAACCCGGTGGCCGAAACCCAAAGGGAAAGGGTGGGCAATTAATTCACTCCACAGGCATGCTGCTGGAGCAGCAAACCCAGCGAGGAGTCATGGAAATTCGGAGAGCAGCTCGAGGAGGCACGAGACCAACTGCTCGGGGCAAGAGACGAGCGAGGCTCACGCTCCTCAGAGCACGTTTCCCGTTGATCCTCACCCTTGGGTTTTCTCACTCTCAGCTCCTGTCCCTGCCAAGCCCGACCTGCTCTGCCCCACCTGGCCGAGCACAGCTTGCTGCTTGCTCCTTGCCGTGCTCCTCTCCAGACCTTGCCCCCAGCTGACCCTCCGACCTTCAGCACAGTCTTTGTGCTCATGTCCTACTCCCCTCTCCAGCCCTGTCCCTGTTTTTTTTTTTATTATTATTATTTTTTTTCTTCTGGGCCTGGCCCAGACCCATCCTTGCCCCATAAAACCCTGAATTGCCCTGGACAGACCGACCTGGGCAGCTCCAGCTCTTTGAGCCCCTCCAGCAGATGGGTTTCTGCATCACACCCTGCCCTTCGCATACCCAGTGCTCCCCCTCTCCGTGCTCTATCCATAACCAGATGCTCCTGCTGGAGGTCTTGGAGGGACCCCTCGCCCCCAGCCACCGGCTTTGCCCTTTATTCCTCACCCCCTGAGCCATTCCCTTGGAGATCTGGAGGAAGGGGCCAGACACCAGGCGCTGCCCAAACCATCTCCCCCACGGGCGTCAGGGGCAGAAGCGAGAGGCAGCGCTGCTGCGGCGCTATTGTTAGAGGCACAGGAAGGCCTCTGGGGGCGTAAAGAGCATCTCTACAGCATCTCCAGCTCCCGGCTTCTAAATGCCAGCACGTTTCCCTACCAGCACAGCCTCCAGCAGGAGCCCTCCAGCTTCTGTGCAGAGAGCAGCCGTCTCCGCAGAGCCCACACAGCCATTACGAGATGCCCACCACCGTCTGCGTCTGCTCCCCGTGACAGGGGGAGGGGGGGGGGGGATGCAGCAGGTCCCCCAGCCGGCATTTCGGAGGTGGCCCGAAATGTCTTTTTTTTTTCTTCTTTTTTTTTTTTTTTTTTTTTTTTCTCACCGTGCTGTAAAAATAAGCCACGAACCACAGCCTCCCACAGCAAGGCGAGGCGAAGGAACCAAGGTCAGCGGCGCTGTGAGTGCTGACAGGTGGCAACCTGCTGGGCACCGCGGCACGGACAGCACAGGACCTGGCCTCCCGATGGACAGCAGACCCTTTTTTTTGCACGATCCCAAAACCAAAAAAAAAGCCTCCTCCAGCAAGGTCAAACAAGGCAGCGCTGAATTCAACCCCCTGTCGCACCCCAAAGCACGGAGGTCGCAAACCACGGATTTCACCCCAATATGGTTCCCAACAGAACCCCCCCCCCAAAAAAAAACCCTGCTGCAATTGCTATAAAAGTCCCCAAATCGTCACCCCCACACCCACCCCCCACACCCACCCAAGAGGTCTTTACCCTCGAGAGGTCTTTGTGGGAGGGGGGTGCGGGGGATGCCTGCGGGGGATGCTCGCGCCGCGTCCCTGTCCCGTCGCCGCCCTGAAATCCGACGGTCCCACGTCTCTCCCAGCCCCGTCACCTGGCGCCGCCGTCCCCACGCCCCACGTTCGGGTGACCCCTGGGGTGAAGCCACGCTCCGGAGGCGACGCTCACATGTGCGGTGGTAAAACACGACTCTGTCCCCGCGCGCAGCCTCCCTCCCACCTCCCCGCGATCAGCTGCGCCTCGCCACGGCTCCTCTCTCTCTTCTCCCCCTCCAGCCGCTCAATCATCCGGCTCTGCCTTCCCATTTAACCCTCTCGGGAGCGGGGGAGAGGAGCTGCTGAGCAGGGGGGGGGGCGGGGGGGCTTCGAGGTGGGTAAGGCACCTGCATTTCTTCCCCCGAAAAGCTTAGGGAAAAAGGGGGCTGCACTGGGAAAACAAAACGCGGGCACCGGCGTCTGGCGGCTGCGCTGCCGAGCGCACGGTTCTCCCCTTAAGAAATAATAATTAAATAATTTTAAATTTCAAAAAAAAAAAAAAAAGAAACCTTTGTTCCAGCCCTGCACATGACATCAGACCATGCAACCTCTGGATCGGCGAGCCGGCTGAATAGCAATCCCTTGACATAATCCCTCTGCTCCGTGGTGGGGGAGCGAGCCCCCCGCGCCCGGCGGCACGGCACGGCACGGCGAGGAGCCGGGCACCGCGGGGTGCTCATGGTCCCCCTGGCCACCAGCACACGGGACATGGGACACGGGGAGAGGGCCACTTACCGAAACTTTACAAAGACATTCAGAGTCCAGCCGGTCACCTTCCAAGGCTCTGCCTTGATTTTAAACATCGCGCCGGCTCCGCAGCCCGGCGGGGATGGGGAAAGCGGCTCCGACCTCAGCCCCAAAATGAGGGGAACTGGGGACAGGGGTGCCAGCCAGCCGCCTTTTGGGGGCTTTGCTGCAGCAGGAGCCCCTCCACGAGGTCGCTTGGCAGGCAGCGATTTCCCTCTCGGGGGTTTTCTCACCGCTTTCCTGAGCGGAGAGGTGCCGGGTGGGCGCGCGGAGCGGTGCGGCGCGCTCCCGAATTAAAGGATTTCTGTCTGTCTGCCGCCAGCTCGGGCACCCTCCCCGCTCCCCAAATACCTGAACACCCCCGGCACAGCTGCCCCCCAACCCCACAGAAGCGGCGGTGACGAGCAGCCCGGTGTCCCCAGCAATGAATCGCCGGTCACGGCGGGGCCACGCGGGGAAGGAGAAAAGTAGGGCAGCACCGATGCACCACGAGGCGGAAAAAGTAACGGGGACCGCTCTGCATCACCCCAACGGGGGTCTCCCCGTGCGTGTCCCCCTCCCCGTTTCCCCCAGGTGCCGACACCGGGGCAGGAGGCATCCAGCAGCTCCCGGTGGCACAAAACCTCCCGGAATAAAGTCACCTTCACGCCTCGCACCGTGGGGGTGCACGCCGAGGGACCTCACCCCCCGAAAGCGTCCCCGAGCCCGAGCGAGAAACTTGGTGTCCGAGCACCGAAGGACATCACCGGGGTGTCGGAGGGACGCGGGGTGGGACGGTGCCGGGTGTGGGGGTGCCGTTACCTCTCGGCGCGGCTCCAGAAGAGCAGGATGGCCGGCATGGTGCTGCCGGGGAGCGGGCGAAACCCCGAGTTGTGCTGGAGGGGAGCGCGGCGCGTCGGGGCAAGGCAGTGCCACCCGTGCCGGCTGGCAGGCGCAGGGAAGCAGCCCGCGATGTCATGAGTACACGCAATGAATCATCCCATCCCCGGGCCCCCACGCGCGCACCGCCCGCCTCCCCCTTCCCCACCGCCTGCCCTCCCTCCCCCCCCCCTTTCCCTTCCCATTCCCCACAGCACCCAACCCCTCCCCACTCGGCTGCCTGGCGGCACCTGCGTGGGGATGGGGTTCGCCCCCTCGCCCCCCCCCCTCCCCTCTCCTGGTGCTGAGCCCCCGCAGGGATCCCACAGATAAGTGGGGAGGGGGGTTAGGATCCCGGATACCCCCATCCTAAAGGGGTAGGGACCCCCACTTTTGGCCCCATTGGGGTGTGGGGGGATGGGGTAAGCCCCCGTGTTGCCTCCCCATATAGGGTCCCCTGTTTCCAGCCCCTGTGGGGTGTCTTGTACTTGGGTGGGGATGGGGTTAAGCCCCTTTTCTGACCCCCCCCATATAGGGTCCCCCATCTCCAGCCCCACTGGGGCACTACCACCTGTGTGGGAATGGGGTTAAGCCCCTTTTCTGACCCCCCCCCCAATAGGGTCCCCCATTTCCAGCCCCACTGGGGCACCACCACCTACATGGGAATGGGGTTAAGCCCCTTTATACCCCCCCACACAAATAGGGACCCCACTTCCAGCCCCTCTGGGGTGCCTGTAACTTTTTGTAGGGACGAGGCTGAGCCCCCTCACTGCCTCCCCACCAAATCCTATGTGGAAATAGGATCCCCCAGTCTCCCCCTCCAGTCTCCCCAGTTCCTAGCCCCACAGGGGTGCGTGTACAGCTTAATAGGGACAGGGTTCAGCCTTCCTCATGTGGGGTCCCCCACCTCCAGCCCCTCTGGGGTGCTGTGAGCCATGTGGGGACAGCGTCCCCGAAATCCTCTATGGGATGCTGTGACCTGCATGGGGACTGTGTCCCCAAATCCTCCACGGGGTTCTGTCACCCTCGTAGGGACAACTCCCCCAAACCCCTTATGGGGTGCTGTGACCCATATGGGGACCGTGTCCCCAAACCCCCTATGGGGTGCTGTGACCCATATGGGGACCGTGTCCCCCAAGCCCCCTATAGGGTGCTGTGACCCATATGGGGACCGTGTCCCCAAACCCCCTATGGGGTGCTGTGACCCATATGGGGACCGTGTCCCCCAAGCCCCCTATAGGGTGCTGTGACCCATATGGGGACCGTGTCCCCAAACCCCCTATGGGGTGCTGTGACCCATATGGGGACCGTGTCCCCCAAGCCCCCTATAGGGTGCTGTGACCCTCATAGGGACCATGTCCCCCAAACCCCTTATGGGGAGCAGTCACTCACACGGGGACTGTGTCCCCAAACCCCCTATGGGGTGAAGTGACCCTCATGGGGGCTGTGTCCCCAAACCCTCCATGGGGAGATGTCACCCTCACGGGGTCCATGTCACCCCAGACCCCTATAGGGTGCTGTGACCCTTATAGGGACCATGACCCCAAACCCCTTATGGGGTGCTGTGACCCACACGGGGACCATGACCCCCAGACCCCTATGGGGTGAGGTGACCCCCATAGGGACCCTGTCACCCCAAACCCCCTATGGGGTGCTGTGACCCCAATAGGGACCAAGTGACACTGGGGGCGGGGGGGGATTTAACCCCTTCCTGCCCAGATGACACCGGGGGGGGGGGGGGAGGGATGTTGCTGTATTTAACCCCTTCCTGCCCAGCCGGCTGTCACCCCCCCCCCCCCCAAATCCCCCAAATTCCCAAATTGTGGACAGGGGTTAACCCTTTCCTCGCCGCCCCCACCTGAAGGGGGGGGGGTCTGGGAGGCGGTGGTGCTGTTGTTGGTGCTGTTGGTGGTGATGGGGGGGGGTCGTTAACGCTTTCCCCGCCCCCCACCACCGGGGGCTGTCACCCCCTCCCCGCCCCCCCGCCCCCCCCCCAACTCACCGCTCCCGCCGGCGCCGCGCACGCACTGCCCCCCCCTCCCCCCCCCCCCCATTTCCCGCCCCCATTTCCCGCCCCGTGACGTCAGGGGAGTCCCGCCCGCGCGCCCCCGGCGGAGAGGGGAGGTGGGCGTGGCGCGGGAATGGAGGGCGGAGCTCCCGCCCCGCCGCGCCCTATCATTGGGCAGAGCGGGTGTCAATCCGAGCGGAGAGCTGCGCTCATTGGTTGCTTTCCAGGGAGGGGGCGGGGCGCCCCCCTCCTTCCATCTGCTGCCGCTGATTGGGTGGTTCAAGCCGGCACCGCCCTGCCGGAGCGTTGTGATTGGTGGAGGGCTCGCGGCGAGGCCCCGCCCCCCCCGGCGCCGAGCCCCGGTGGCTTTTTATAGCGGCCGGGCGCGGCGGGATCCCCTCGGGAAGCTTCTGGAAGCAGTGACGTCAGCGGGGCGCTGCGCGGCCGCCCCCTCCCCTCAGCGGGCGGCCGCCATGTTGGGGCCGGGGGCACCTCAGTGCCCCGCTGCCAGGAGCTGACGGGGGGGCACCCGCAGCTGCTGCTGCTCCTGTCCCAGAGTCAGGAAGGGTGGAAAACACCTCAAAAATCACCTGCTGCAGCCCCCACAGTCACTGTCACCCACCACACCGTGTCCATAAGCACCACACCCTGCCTGCCCCTCAGCACCCCCTCTGTGGGGGTCATGGCGGCGTCACCCAGCTTCGGTCCTGCTGTGTCTGAGGGAAAATGCACAGCTGGTTTTGGGGAAGAAAAAGCGGTCCTTGCTCGTCCCCGTTTGGCCCAAAAGCAGGGCTCGGTTCACCTCACGGCACAGCACTCCAAGGGCAGGGAACACAATTCTGACAGGATGAGGGGGAATGGGATAAAGCTGTGCCAAGGGGAGGTTTGGGTTGGATATTAGGAAGAAATTCTTTATCAAAAGGGTTGTGAGGCATTGGAACAGGCTGCCCAGGGAAGCGGTGGAGTCACCATCCTTGGAAGTCTTTAAAAGACGTTTAGATGTAGAGCTTATTGACAAGATTTAGTGGAGGACTGGTTAGTGTTAGGTCAGAGGTTGGACTCAGTGATCTTTAAGGTCTTTTCCTGTGATTCTGTGACCTACAAAGCCTCAGATGTTGAATCTGAGAGCTGCTGTGAGGCATCGGGGCTGTTAGCATGGCATCTGTCACGCCTAAAGTGCTGTGCTTTTATACTTTACCTCATGAAGTCTTTAAATGGACATTCCACAGTAATTTTGGGGTGACAACCAGCCCTTCCCCTGGGGGTTCGTCACAGCATTTTGGTCCCCTCGTTCCTCTCCTGGGGCTGGGGTCTCCATCAACCCAGTGATGGAAACTGGTGGCTGCCCAGGCTCCTTTCCTCCCATGAGGTGTTTGTGGAGCATCCCTGAACTGGAAGAGTCAGTGTTTTCATTGTGCTCTCTGCACAGCGTCTGAGTCATCACGATATGAAACCAGCACTTACTGTTATCTGTTATCTGTCTATCTTGCTGTCTATTTGTTCTGCTATCCGTGTACCCAGAGGGACTGCTGCTCTTGCTACAAAGGGCTCGTGCCGCTCACCCAGGGCAATGTCAATGCCCTGGGCTTGCAAACTCTTTTCTGTTCCCTTTCCCAGCCTTTCATCAGGAAAGGCATTGGAGGCCCTGGGGCAGAGCTGGCACTGACCGTATCCGTGTCCGCAAATGACTGGCTTGGCGTGCAGCTGTGTGGGCTGAAACAAGGGCTGTGAGAGCAAGTGCTTTGGCTCAGGAGCCCACAGCATGGGGGCTGGATGGATGCAGCCCATAGTGCCCAGAAAGCTGGGCAGGGGAAGGGTCAGCAGAGCCCCTGCTTCCCTCCCTGGGTGCTGTGCCCGACAGTGGCTGCCTTAAGCAAAACGGCTCTTCCTCCACAGCCTGTCTGCCAGCACATCCGGCACCCTTTTAAAGAAACGCTAGAAAAGCGCAGGGAAGGGTGACAGGAATAATTAAAGGTATGAAGCAGTTTCCATACAAGGAACAATTACATAAACTAGCTCCCTTCCGTCTGGGGGAAGAGATGACTGAGGGAGGGATGACGGAGAATAATAAAATCATGTGTGGCTGGGGGAAGGTGAGCAGGGAATGGCTGCTTATTTTTTTTTTTTTTCCCTTAAAGGGCTTGTGGGCATCACGTGCTGAAATAGGCAGTGGCACCTCGGGGCACGAGCGTGCTTCGTGGTGCAGTTTGGGATTAACATTTTGGAGCTGCTGGCCTTTGGGGGGGTGGATGCCGGGGAGGTGTGAAAAGCTTGTCTGGGATCAAAAAGCAATTAAGCAAATTTCTGAAGAGAAAATCCACTGCAGGCTGTGGTGAGCACAGCGATGATGCTTCTGGCTCAGGAAATCCCCAGGCTATGGGCAGCCGGAGCGGGGGAGCACGTTGCAGGGGTGTTGTGCTCACCTCAGTCTTCAGCTCTTCCCAAGGCATTGTGTGTTGGTCTCCATGACAGGGAGGCAGGGGACTGTGTGGGGGCTGCTTTTCTGTAAAAACACGTATTACATCATTCCTTGCTGTTTGGAGGTCAGGACAGTGGATGAAGCCACCAAGCTCTTCCACCCCCTGTCCCGCGTTGTGGCTGCCAAGTCCCCAGCTGCTGTCACACTGCTGTGAAGGAGACCTCTCCCCTGACCCCACCACAGCCCCCTTGGTTTGGAGGTGTATGTGGGGCACAGCTCGGCCTGCCCAGGGCACAGGGATCCCAGCACAGCTCAGCAGGTGGGCAGGAGGGAGGTTTTCACTGCTGCCATGCCCCCGGTCCTGCTCAGGCTCCCCCGCTCCACATGGCGCGGGGAAGTCTCCGCCTGGGTGAGCTCCAGAGATGCATCTGAGGACACCGGGCT